TTTTCCAGCAAAGAACTTCTCCATAGGGGAGGTGAGGAGGCCGACTGTAATTGCCCTCACTGGAATTTGGCCAAGGGCAATCACTCACAGGCTTGCAAAAGTGTCATGTGATCTTCTCCAACTACAAGTGGATGGGGTTTTATGTTTCATCCATTCTTTGTTTCTCTTCTTGTCAGAATCAGTGCATTTATGGCTCTCTCTCCAGCTAAGCCTCTGCAGCTGGAAGTGGCTCTGCAGATATGGCACTGTGGGGGAGGGGTATGTGTGTGTCCCATTGTCTCTTAATGACTTGAGAAAAAATCTGTAAACATTTAGTAAATATGGTTTTTTTCCCTTCCTAATTGCCTGCCCTGCAAGATCAGCTCTGGAGCTGGAAAGGTGAACTACAAAGCAAACAGAAGATTTACTTTTGTTCTCTGCTGCTTATAAAGACTGTCTCACGGTCTACACCCACTTCTGTAGGCTTTAACTATGTTGGTATGAGGTACAAAATGTTTTAAACTGAAATACAGTAAAACCTTAGAGTTGTGAACACCTTGGACATGGAGTCTGTCCGTAGCTCTGAAATGTTCATAACAGAACAAAACATTCTGGTTGTTCTTTCAAAAGTTGACAACTGATCACAGACTGAATACAGCTTTGAAACATTACTACGCAGAAGAAAAATGCTGCGGGACTGTCCCTTTATTTCTTTGTTAGTTTATGTTTAACTATATCTGCTTCTTTGTTTCTGGTCTTTGCTACTGCCTGACTGTGTACTTCTGATTCATGGGTGGTGGGGTGAAGGTAGGATTCAGGGAGGCAAACCTCCAGCCCCACCCCTACCCCCCACAGGCACCAAGCCACCCTCCCTCCAGTACCACTGAGAGAGAGGGCGGCATGTGGCCCCAGCCTCGGACCACTGGGGAGGGAGGGTAGCGTGTGGCCCCTGCCTCTCTGGCCCTGGACCACCAGGGAGAAAGGGCGGTGTGTGGCAACCAGCCTCCTTGACCCTAGAGCACCAGGGAGGGAGGGTGGCACATGGCCCCAGCCTTGCTAACCCCGGAAAATGGGGAGAGAGAAGGGCATGACTCCAGCCTCCCCAGGCAGCACGCAGACCCAGCCCCCCCCACCACCTGGAACATGGGGAGAGAGGAGGGTGAGCAACCCCAGCCTCCTCTCCTGGAGCATGGGAAGGGCAGGTGCTTGGGGCTGCAACACTCCGCCCCCAATATGCTTATAGTAGGCGTTCTAGGGACGGAGTGTGGGAGGGGCCAGGCTGGCAGTTTGGGAAGGCAAAGCCCTTCCCCCACCTAGCATATCCACTGCCTGTGCTCTGATTCCAAATGAGGTATGTGGTTGACTGGTCAGTTCGTAACTCTTAGGTTCTATTGTAGTTAAACTGGTCCAACCCCTACTTGGTTGCAGCTATAAAGGTGCATTACGCCCATATAGCTTATTCCCCTTTTCCACATGGCAATAAACTATACCGATCAAAAGTACCTTCACACCAATGTAACTGTGTCCGCACTAGGGGCAAGGGGGTGGAAAGGCACTATTGCTTTCACCAGCACAGCAGAGTTAAAGTGGTACCACTTCTGTAGACGAGGCCTAAGAAATTTCCCTGCTTGTTTGTTTACATCGCAAGTATCAGCCCCTCATTTCTGCGGACTCTGCAGGAGGACTCTGGCTAGATGCTAGGAGGGCTGAAGAGATTTAAGCCTCGTCTTCACTACACAACAAAAAAGGGACAGGGGAATGTTGCAGAGAAGGCAGTTTTCACAGGAGTGAGGAGATCTAAGATAAACCCTGGTCATCAGCTTAACTGAAGGTAACTGAAGTGAAGCCTCCTCTTCACCAGACTTTTGCCTGCAGAGAAGGATGCGCCTTTTCTTACAGTGAAAACAAGGCCATATACAGACTAAAACCCGGGTGGGGAACCTAAGGCCTGCCTGGATCTGGCCTCTGAGGCTCAGGGCTCCCCACCTCTAGCACTGGGGAGTCTGTGCTGGGACTCCAGCCCCCCTGCAATCTCTCCATGAGGCTGGAGCACACAAAACCTACTATCCTGGGACCGCCTAGGCGCTGGCGTGTGAGAGGAATGTGGGGAGTGTTTTCTCCTTCTCACTCAGGGAACGTGTCAGTGAGGATTTTTTTTTTTTTGCTTCTCAGTTGTGTGTGGTCCCCGACCCATTTTTCTGTGGGTCAGCGGCCCCCGACCCAAAAAGGGTTCCTCACCCCTGGACTAAAGGAATCCACAACCCCTCTTAGTAGTAGGGAAGAAAAGATGCAGCCTCATATCTGGGGATCCTGCAAAGGTTCTCTAGCAAAAAAATGTAAATAGTAAATGTAAACCACAACCAGCCCCTTCCCCTTCATCCTTCACTACCACAAAGGTGCAGCAAAGGAGCCAGGCACAAGAGTGGCTTTTGCCTTTGTAGCTCACCTTGGGCTCTTTCTGGCTTGCACACCACCACTCTGCAGTGACAACAGAAGAGGGAAGCGGAATTTAATTATCTCAATCACATGCAAACAAGAACAGGATCCGGCTCACTAACCAGTCATCTGAATGCAAATACTGGGCCGTTCCCTGGAATACACTGGTTTTACAATTCTCTAACAGAGGGTTTCCTTCCTCTTCCCAAGGGAAATGGTAGAAATTCAAGCAGCTACGACTGAACCAGCAGAAAGAGCAAATCGATGGCGTCACAGGGCCATGGTCACTTCTCTCACCACAACTGCACTGACATCTGCTTGACTTGCAGGAGGACAGCTGCTCACTACCTGTGGGGAAAAACCCCCTTTCTGCTGGGGTCACTGGAGAGGGTTTCCTTCCTCTTCCCAAGGGAAATGGTAGAAATTCAAGCAGCTACGACTGAACCAGCAGAAAGAGCAAATCGATGGCGTCACAGGGCCATGGTCACTTCTCTCACCACAACTGCACTGACATCTGCTTGACTTGCAGGAGGACAGCTGCTCACTACCTGTGGGGAAAAACCCCCTTTCTGCTGGGGTCACTGGGGGGCCTACCTTGTAGGTGGGGCAGGTGTGTGCACTGAAGCATCCTACATTTTCACATCTCGGTGAAAGCAGGAGACTAGCTTCCATGAACAGGTGTTTGCTAGAGCCTGCTGGCAGCTCCCCATAACATATCAATGTGGAGAGCACCTCCTCGGAACAGCTGAGGGGAAAGGGGTGAAGTAATCCAGATCCAGGGGTCTCCTGGCCCCTTCCCTCTGTGCAGGGAAAGTCAGCAAAGAAGCCCTTGTTTCCAGTATGATCCACTAGCGGGACTTCTCAGCCCACGATGGCCCTTACTTCAGTGGGACTCTAATATTTGCCTTTCATGCTCTGAAGGACTTTCTCTCTCTCAGCCTCGTGCCTCCTTCCTCTCCTGAGCTGCTATCTGTTTAAGAACGGGGAAAATTCTAATTACTTCTTGTCACATCATACCCATGTGTCTGTCTGGATGCTTTCTTGTGTGCAACAATCCCAGGGCCTTTCTGGCCCATATGCGGAGGAAATTTGGGCACCACTGGGTCTTCATATGTACCCACCTGCCTCTTCCTATCCCTGTTCTGTGGCTTCTGCTTCCTCCAGGGAGGATCTAGTTAACTTACAAGTGAAAAAGCCTGCCAGACCTGTTAGCAGAACACTGAACTTGTGAAAGAGCCATTCGAGTGGCAATAAAACCATATAACAGGCATTTGCCAACCCCAGGTATATCCTGTCAATTTGTGAACTTACTGTGGTAGTCGACATGGCACCTTAGTTTAAAATGTGCGTGAAAAATATTTCATGAGTGTGTTGCTGAAGATTATAAAATCACATCTCTGAAAAACCATTTGTTCCCTTCCCCAGGCTGCCATTGGGCATAGGGCACCAGTTTAATAGTACTGCAGGTACTATTCATTTAATAGTACAGGGTCCCATCAGTCCTAATGAAGGCCCTGAACAGTTCTGTACCCTTCCAAACTGTCTCTCCTTTGGAACCTGAGCCCTGCTGGTTTTGGAGGTCAATCCATCACAGGCAGGAATCAATCCCGCAGAGGCTGGATGATCTGGCCTTTCCTACCACTAGCTTTTATGCCCAACGCTGTCCCCAGGTACAGCCCAGGTATGAGAAGGGCTTCTGGCTCTGACTGGATCCCTCAGCGCAAGCTGTTGAGTGGCAAATTGCTGGCATGCCAGCAGCAGAGTCTTATATTTCCACTGTGCTTCACAGCAGCTTTTCCTGCTGTGCCATGTGCCTGTGACGAGAAGGCGTGCAGCAAAGCCTGGCTGCAAACAGGAGGGCAGGAAAGGCAGAGGGGAGGGAGCTCTCTGTTACACTGTGGGAATAAAACCCTGCAGACGTCAATCACTCAGGGTGTTCTCTGATGCTCCTCTCCTAACTCTGTGATTGCCCCTGACTGCTGCTTTTCATCACTAAGGCTACGTCTACACTGCAACGCTATTTCAGGATACCAGAGTATCCCGAAACAGCTATCCTGTGTCTGCACAGCAAACCCGTTATTTCAAAATATAATGGGCTCGCTACTCCGATGTCCCTGTAAACCTCATTCCACAAGGAGGTAGGGACGTTTTGGAATAGTGGGTTATTTATTTCAAAATTAGATCGAAATACAATACACAATTAATTTGCATAGCTCAAATTGTGTATCTTATTTCGAGCTACGCTGCCGTGTAGACGCACTCTAACTGTCCAATATGGCAGGTTTGGGTGCAAGGGTCTCTAGCTGGGCTTTGTTTGGAGAGAGAATGAATGAGAAGCTGAGAGAGTCAGAGTCTTTCTATACAACACACTATCATTCAGTAAGAGAACCATGAATGGGGCCACACCACCATCCAGCATCGCACTGGCTGGGGGATCAGACTGCACCAGGGTTCTCTAACTTGGCTGCTGCAGGGTTGCTGACTTCCAACCTAGCTCCAAAGCAGCACAGTACGGAGATGGAAGGGATTTGCAAGTAAGGGTTAGGACACAGAGGCGTAGCCAGACGGGTGGGCAGGATACTTACATATTGGCTGGGACTCTGAAAGAAGCGGCAGGAACAGAGGAACTGACAGCACAGGGGGTCCCGGTGGTACAAGAGCAGTAGCAGCACCAATATCGCCACTATGAAGACAGACGAAGAAACTGCTGCCGAGATAAGAAAGAACAAACAAGTTCACCACCTGGCCTGGGATGCCCGGCCGGTCACAGATAACCTAGAGGCTCCTTAAAGCCTCCCGCTTTCGTCCTCTATCCGGCACTCCGGGGAAGGAGCCAGGTGGCCGACGCAGCCATCTGCTAGCCAGTTTCCCAACAGCAGCTGCCTCTCTCCTTTCTGAGGATGCTTAAAACCCAATGGGAAGTGGTATCTGTCTCCTTCCCTATCCAGAGGCAAACGTCCCTTCTGTGTAGCTGGGGGGGCGTGGGGAGGGGGGGCGGTAGAGCAGCTAGGTCTGTATTGAAATGGAACCTGTGCCCACTTATCCTTCAAGTGGGCAGAATGGAACCAGCCCTTCTACGCATCAGAACAAGCCAATTTGCCTTTCAGCTGAGGATCTCAAACCACTTCATCTGCTGATGAAAAACACCATATATAAGAACAAGGTGGTGTAATGAATTATTATTACTATGAACTCTCATTCATTTTCTCAGCTCTTAAGAGATGAGTCTTCTTTATAGTCTGTTTGCATACTGAGGGACTGGATGAGCATCAGCAGAAGAGCCGGGAGTATAAGCGCACAAGGGCTCTCTGTCTTTCTCCCCAACTTCCATGCCTGCAAAGGGCTGGAAGGTGAAGTCTCGTGTTAATTGCATGAGGACAAAAGGGTGGAGGACCCACGGAAAGACTGACTAGCATAGCCATATTGGAAGAGAACGGGCACCCTGGCCAGGATCAGAGATCAGGGTTCCACGTTTCCCTGGTTAGATCACTTGACACAAAGCACAGCACGAGAAAGCGCATTCCTTAGCCATGCTCGTGATTTCGAAATAATAAGCAGTGTCCCCACACTATCAGGCCTGTTATTTTGAAATAACAACTCCTGCTTTCCATGAGGAATAATGTTCATTTCGAAATAGGAGTAGTGTGGACGCACCACTGCTGCTATTTCAGAATAACTCCTCCCCAGAGTCATTCAAAGTAATGACTCCCCAGTGCTTCCTGGAGAGTCGAGGTAGTGGCATCCACATTAAGGGAGCCTGCCTTGGACTAATTTTGAGGCTTCTCTGCAGTGTGGACACACTATTTCTAAATAGTATATTCAAAATCATTTCCTAGTGTAGACATGCCTTTACAATGCATGAGAGAGGTAAACAGCTAGAGCAGGATTCCTGAGTTCTAGTCGCAGCTCTGACACCGACAGGCTGCATGGACTTAAGTGAGTTATTTAGTCCACTCCCCATCCCAGTTCAAATTTCCTCCTCTGTGGATACAAAGGGCCATTTATTTATTCCAACTAACAAAGAAACATCCGGCAGCCTGTTCTGTCAACCTGTATTGACTCCATACGGTGGAGCGGGAAATAATTCCCTGCATGTTCTATAAAGCCTCCATCAGGGAGGAAGATGGAACACTTTTGTCACTTAAAAGTGTGCTCTTTGAGTCAGGGTGTCTCACCTGAAATGTTTCACAGATAAAATCTGCTTCAGATCCCAAAGAGGGAACTGTGAAATTTACCATAACACAGTTGTTTGTGTAAGGCCCTTGTGAGAGCGCCTGGCCAAAGGGCTGAGTGTTGCTATTAAGTAGCTATAGGTGTTTGCCATTCAGGGGTGGCCCTAGTCTAGCTGCCAGCAAAGGGCACCCTAGGCGAACCATGCAATCGGCACCCCCACCTCCAAACCCCTCAATGATATTGTGCCACCATTTGGCGCCCCATTTAACTTGGCGCCCTAGGCAACTGCCTAGTTCACCTATATGGATGGGCCGCCCCTGTTGCCAATATAGCAGCAAAAACAAAGGAATCAGGACTCGGGTCCTGGCAGATACGTTAAAAGGGGATTATTTCCACATACAATGTTCAGAAAATGTAGTGTCATGTCCAGTCTCTCTGGGATCTGAAACAGATTTTATCTGTGAAACATTACATGTGAGACACCCTGACTCAAAGATCACATTTCTAAGTGGACAAAAGGATCCCGTCTTCCTCCGTGATGGAGGCTTTATGAAACATGCAGGGAATTATTTCCTGCTCCACCGTATGGAATCAATACAGGTTGACAGAACGGGCTGCCAGCTGGAATAGCGTGTCTGTTTTTTAATGGGTCACCTGGAAACCAGGCGCTTCAATGCTAGTTGTTCTGAACAATATGTGATGGACACGTGATAAAAACCCAGGTAAGCAGAATCAAACAAAATGTTCAGTTCCAGGCAGACCAATTAACGCAAGCACAGCTCCCCCAAGCCGGTGGATGGGAAAGGCAAGTTCTCTCCGCCTACCTGGGGCTTCTCCAAAAGTCCATCAGAAAAAAGAAGAAAAAATAATGTTCCTAACATAAAAGCACTTGGTGAAACCCACCCCTCACACACACTCTCCATACACATCACTGGATATTCAGCGGTGCTAAGCACCACAGTTCTGATGAAGTCAATGGGAGTTATGGGTCCCTTTGAAAATCCAGCTGTGCCGGAGGTGGGGGTGTGCTCTCCCTCCCTCTCTTGCCAGGTACCTTTCACAGCAACTCCAGAATAGAATTCCCAACCCTAATTTCACAGCCATGGCACAATGTATATGCAGCAGCACTTGGAGAAATGGGCCCTCTGTTGCTAAAGAGAGGAGAAAGGAGCCTGGAAAATCCAAGCAGGGGGGAATCAAAGGGATTTTAACTCTTGGGGAGGAGACACATTTGAGAGTTTTGTTCTCTGCCATGTACAGCTTTAAGAGTTTGTCAATGTAGCAGCAAACACATAGGAAGCTCAGCTCCTCACTTCCCACCCCACTGAAGGAACCCCAAAAGTAAGACAGGGTACTCACTTGCAGCTATGATGATGGCCACTACATTGCTGTCCATTGAAACACTGGCAGTAGGAGGAGGTGTTAGCACATCACCATGATGGGGCATCTCTGGCATTGCACTGATCTCTTGCTCAGCTGGCTGGCTCCTCATGCAAAACAGACCTGGGTACACGTAGAAACGCCAGCCATGCTTTGGAACAACTCCCCTGTGATGCTGGCGCAGCCCCCTCCTAATTATCCTCACCCACTTCTCAGTTGAGTCCAGCCTCTGAAAAACAAGTTGGTGGCTTTATTTTCTCCACAACAATCAACCTTAACCTCAGTTGCAGCTGTCTTCCTCCGTTCAGTCCATTCTGTTCTCACCTGCTAATGCAACCTTGTCCTCTGTTTTTGCCTTCCTCTGATGAGCAGATCTGGGTCTATGGTGGGCCCAGTGACATCTCCCCTTGATAAAGTGACTGGCTTCTGCTCTCTCCTTGGTGCCTTCTTTCCTTGATCGCCTGTGCCCGACCAGTTTCTGGTGGATTCCCGCTGTTTCCCCCGTGTGTATTTTGGCTTGGTTCTGATGGGTTCTGGAGTCTCCTCTTCGTGCACTGCTTCTGATCTTCCCTTCCCTTGATGCACTGACCTGGGTCTACTGGATTCTGGTGTCTCCTTTTCCTTGAGAGTTCTCTGCTGCCAACAGTGTTTGCATTGCCCCTCGTCTCCTGTGTCCAGAAACGTGTATAGGTTCAGAACCGGAGCTCCGCCCTTGGGAAACCCCTTTAAAGGGTTAATAACTTCTGGTCCGGGCCGCTTTGTTCAGCGTGGACCGGGCAGCGCATAACCCAACTCCAGGCGCTGGATCAGTCTCGGGATAGTCAGACTCACTCTCAGCTGATGCCGCACGGACCGGACCGAGCCAACCTCCTTTGTTCCGGGCCGGGCTCGACCAGGTACCGCCAGGCTCACGCGTAGATCTTTGCACCTTCCACCTCCTACCCCCCGCAGCTCTCTCCTCATTGGCTGCTGAATCATCCCTCCGGGCTTTGATTGGTTCAAAGTGAAAATTGCTACATTCTCCCAATGGAACGTTGTGTCGGCGGTTGCTGTGGCGACGCAGCACGTGGGGAGGGAGAGAGAAGCTGTCCCACGCCTCCAGCTTCCCATTATCAATGGATTTTATTGTGCATCTTAGTGCCACAATCAGCCTGAAGGTTACAGCTGCACTGATCTCCATTTAGGTGTAACGCAGCCTCACCTAGCAGCAGCTCTTCAGTCCTGGCGGAGGGCTGAGAGGAAGGTTCTGCTGCTGCTATATTGCAAACACACCCTGAATAGAGCATCCTCGTGACCTCCAATACTTTGGCTCCCCTTTCGATAATGGCCCGTGCTAGCTCTGGCGGCCGTTTAAATAAGAGGGGAAATACAAGAAAAGTATGACACAGTGTCTCATTGAAACCCATCACACAATCCTACACGGAGAGACTCTTTAAAAATATCCCAGTCTCTCTCCAGGGGACTAAGACCCGTCAGGTGAGCCCTTAACTTACACCCGCAGGACTCTTAGGACTTACCTTTCGATGTGTCAATCGACTCCCCCTGCTTCCTCCTCCGCAAAAAAAACCCCTTGCCCTTGGGCTGGAGGCTGTTTAAATCCTGTTCATTTAAAGCAAATGTTAGGTTTCGCATTCACGCACAGCTCTTGCAAGGAGCTCCCTCTGCTGGAGCTACACCGTATGGGTAACAGAACAGTCACAAATGGTCATTGGTTAATGTGGGAACGGAAGTGCGGTACAAATGTTAAGAAACACGATCAGACCACGTGTACGGGTCATTGGTTCTGCAAATGGACTTACCCAAAGGAAAGCTGCTTACTATCATATTATTGCCAGCCCCAAGCAGTTAAAATCCAGACCCCGCAAACCATGCGGGTTGAATCATGAGGGTACCTTCTGGTTCAGGCCTTCAGGGTTCATGTTTTTCAGCTTTTCTCCCTCACCACAAGAGGTAATAAAACATAGCTTTCTTTTTTTAAAAGGTGAAATTGCATGAAAAAAACCACACACAACAGTTGCCATCACCATAAACTCAGCCCCTTTGTTGTACACAGCAACCAAATGCTTTCCAAATGTCTGCCACAGAGTTCTGAGTTTCCTCCTCCTGCCCCAAGAACAGAATCCCTCTCTATTAGGGTTCAGACACCATGTAGCGATATTGCCTTGAGCAGTAACTATAACCAACACTTTTCACAAAAACTAAATACCCTTATTATTTTCCTGGAGCTCACAGCAGCATTGTGATGCTCTTGTGGAAGAAGAAAGAAGGGGAAGGAACAATACTCCATTTCAGGTCCTCAGTGAGTATTATTCCATATTTCTATTGCAATAGCACACAGAGGCCCAGCAAGGAAAGAGGCTCCATTGTATTAGGTCCTTTACAACATGTACAAAACCCAGCTCCCCCCACCGAAGATCTTCCAGTCTAAAGTCAACAAGCAAAACATAATAGAGAGTGGGAGAAAGAAACATACAATCAGAGATGCATTTACACCACAAAAATAAAGTGCCAATGTCCCCATCTGCCCCTCACTAGCTGGCTGGTTTACTGAAAGTGTCATGACCATGCTGAGTGTGGAGGGCTTAGGACAGATAGGACCATTTTTCCTGGATTTTTTTTCTATCCCTGTGTGAAATAAATTTTATGTGCACTGAGGCATGCGAGGGTGTGCAGCATCAGTAGAAATACATGGTGGTGGCTTATAGTTATTTTAAGATTTTTGGGATACAGAGTGTGGGTAAGTTTCCTGTCACTGGTCCTGTTAGCATCTATAAATTGTAAACATTTCAAAATACGACTATTATCTCAGTTTCACTCTAACAAAACATATATACAGAGGGAGTAGTACTGAGAAATCACACGGCAACTGTATTAGTAGAAAGACCACTCGACTGATGCTATTTTAGCTCTCCCACTAGCCTGCTGGGTGACCTTGGGCAAGTCACTTCACTTCCATGTGCTTCAGCTTCTCCTCCTACTCTGTGTCTGTCTACTTAGACCAAGGTCTAAAACTCACCTTAGAGCCAGTCCTCAAATTCTCCTAGCGAGTCAGCAGGCACCCTCCTCTGGCAGGGCTCCAAGGGGGGGGGGGGTCTCTGTACATTTCCCTCCATGCATTTACTGCACACACATCCCAGGCGCCCACTGGCTACACAGCGGGGCTAGAGCAGCTTCCAGTGCTTAGATCCATGTTACTGCTAGCACAGCCCTACGGCCCAAGGGAGTTGTGTGCAGAGCCGTCCCATCTATTGGACAGCTCAGGGTGTCTGTCCCAGGTCCTGTGATTTGGGGGGGGGGTCCCATGGCGGCTGCCCTGAACTGTCCTATGGATTAGACAGTCCCCCATACACAGGTCAGCCAGAGGTGCCTGGGGTGGGCTGGGGCCAGCAGCAGGGGGTCAGTGCCCCTGCAGAGCTACGCAGCAGCCTGAGCTGTCATGTTTCCCAGGCCATGTCTAACGGGAGGGGGGCTTGAGGGAACAGGTGCCATGGGGGAAGGGCAGAGCAGGGGCTGGGCTTGGGGGAAGGGTATATAGAGACACACAGCTCTGGGGCTGGCAGCTGAGTGCAGACCAGATTGTGGGACTGGTAGGGCAGCAAATGGCCTGCAGTTTGAAATCCCTGAGCCCAAGGAGGGCATGGGGCACAGGATCTGAGGCCCCTCCCCCAGAAGGCCCCAGGTACAGGGTCCAGGACAACCCCCCCACATTGCAGGACCTACCTGACTCCTTTCTCCAGCCCTGGCCCTGCTCCACTTTACCCCAAACAACACAGCCTGAGACAGTTTGGGGGCTTGGTGCAGCAGCAGCAGGGTTCCCCTCCCCTCCACTCACCATGTGGGCAGTGACAAGCGGAGTGGCCCAGCAGCCTGCTCGGCTCCCTTTTCCCCACCCATATATGGTTGTGACTATTTTCTTCCACTATTTGATCTGAGGAAGTGGGTCTGGCCCATGAAAGCTCATCACCTAATAAACCATCTTGTTAGTCTTTAAAGTGCTACATAGTCCTGTATTTTGTTTCAGCTACCCCAGACTAACACAGCTACATTTCTATCACTGTGTAAAAAAAGGGGAGGTTGCGCAAAAAGGAAATGTCTACATGGCTTGTTTTTGCACAAAAACTCTTGTGCAAAAACAGATCGGAATGAAGCATGAGAAAATGTAGTGTAGACGCAGCCTAGGATCTTAAGGGCAGGGACTGCTTGTACAACCAACCCCACACTTCAACCCTTGGCTCAGTGGAGCTGTGCTCTCAGTTCAGGCCACTGGGGACTGCCCTAAGACAAATCACAAAAGTG